TTGGTTAAAATGTTTTATGTTGGGGGGGAACTATGCAAATAAGAGAGCTAGTTAAAGGCAACAGTGAGCTCAAGGTCAATAAGAACAAACCACTGGATTTTCCTCTGGCCCACCAGGTGCCTTCTGGAACTCAAGTAAGAGTACCTAGTGGGATGGGATGGCGTCAGAGAACTTTATGCCTGAACTTTCCTCCCAGCATTTAATGTGATCCTGAAATGTAGACTGAATCATTCTCACCCATTTTTGTCACAACTAAAAGTTCCCAAATTAGACCATTAAAAGCATTACCTTGTCCACAGGAACATTTCCAGGAGCAGTTCTTAGGTGTTGAGTGTGTGCTTCTACATAGGCCTGTCTGTCACTATTACTGTCAGAAGCAGGACCTGGGATTTCTGGGGCCTCAGGGGATCCAAGATTCGAGAAATGGCAGCGCAGGAAATGTTGCCCACATTACTAATAGTTTGCCTCAGGTTGTTGAGACTGGTCCAGGCAATTCCATCCTTGCAGGATACATCCAGGTGGCCAGGCCTCGTGGAGAGACATCAAGTGATCACTGATCTCCCCATAGATTTAGGAATTTTATGTGTAGCAAGGAAGAAGAAAACAGAGATAAAATTTTCTCCTTATCTTTGCTATCCAGAAAATGAAGTATGTCCTCTTAGAGACTGTTTGGATGATTCAGTTTCCACAGGATGATTCAATTTTGACAGGATGATTCAACTGTGGAAACCATTTTTAGGTTTTTAATATGAAATGAAAAGAAGCTTTCTGAAATTGTCCTCGTAAGGGGCCTCTCTCATGACTGGGCCTGGGCACGTGTAGTTGGACTAACTGGTCTGTGATGGGTCCAAGAGTGAGGGCTATCCCCCAGTCATGCCACTCTTGTCTGAAACTAGGAAAGCATTCAGGTGAATGAAGTTACAGCCCTTTAAGAAATTCAAATATCCCTGGGCAGAGTAACAGTTAAGTTGACATCAATCATTCACACTTCTGTGTGAATTAGTTTACTATCTGGCACAAAAATGAGGAATTTGTATAGACATTGAGAATTTGAGGGACATTTTTGAAGGAGGTGGGAAGGGAGGGATTGTTTGGGACATGGTATTTTAACATTGATCATCTAGAATGAAGAGTCTGAAACAAAAATTAAGTGCTAACAATTTCCTCTTTTTATTTAATGCTTTATTACCATTGCTATTTCAAACTATCAAATAACACACAAAATCAAACAATACAGAAGCATATAAAATAAAAATGTAGTTTCCTCCTCCCCCATCCAGTTCCACTAACATGTAAATCAGTATTAACATTTTGTTTATTAGGTATCTATTCATTGGATTTATTGGGTATGTTTTTCCATGTTTATACAAACTCACATATGCATGTGTAGTATATAGAGTTTTAAAAATTTTTTGTCTTTTGTCTTTATTTTTTACAAAAATGAGATTATTCTATATGCCTAATAATTTACTGTGGACATCTTTCAAAGTTAATGCCTTTCTCTCATTCTTTATAAGAGTTGCATATATTCTATGATATAGATATTACATTATTTTTTCAACAATTTTTCCATTTGCAGCTTTGCCTTTTATTTCCAGTTATTTCCTGTTAAAGTCAATCCTTCATAATGTGGCAATCAATCAATAAATTGTGATGTAGTCATATAATGGAATATCATGGTCAAAAGGAATGGACCAGATGTAATATGATGTTTAAATCTTGGTGGGAATGCAAGCTGGTGCAGCCACTCTGGAAAACAGTATGGAGGTTCCTCAAAAAGTTGAAAATAGAGCTACCATACAAACCAGCAATTGCACTACTGGGTATTTACCCCAAAGATACAAATGTAGTGATCCTAAGGGGCACATGCACCCTAATGTTTATAGCAGCAATGTCCACAATAGCCAAACTATGGATAGAGCCAAGATGTCCATCAACAGATGAATGGATAAAGAAGCTGTGGTATATATATACAAGGGAATATTATGCAGCCATCAAAAGAAATGAAATCTTGCCATTTGCAACAATGTGGATGGAACTGGAGGGTATTATGCTGAGCAAAATAAGTCTATCAGAGAAAGACATGTATCATATGATCTCACTGATTTGAGGAATTCTTAATCTCAGGAAACAAACAGGGTTGCTGGAGTGGTGGGAGGTGGGAGGGATGGGGTGGCTGCGTGATAGACATTGGGGAGGGTATGTGCTATGGTGAGCACTGTGAATTGTGTAAGACTGTTGAATCACAGATCTGTATCTCTGAAACAAATAATACATTATATGTTTAAAAAAAAGAAGAAGATAGTAGGAAGGGAAAAATGAAGGGGGGAAAATCGGAGGGGGAGATGAACCATGAGAGACTATGGACTCTGAGAAACAAACTGAGGGTTCTAGAGGAGAGGGGGCTGGGGGGGATGGGTTAGGCTGGTGATGGATATTAAAGAGGGCACGTATTGAATGGAGCACTGGGGGTTATATGCAAACAATGAATCATGGAACACTACATCAAAAACTAATGATGTAATGTATGGTGATTAACATAACATAATAAAAATAAATAAATAAATAAATTTCCCAACATAAAAAAAAAAAGAGGCAGAGATGAAATGTGGAAAGAAACTGTTTGAGTCCTTAAATTCAGCTCTGTCTGAAACTATAACTGGATGGTTCTGTTAAAAAAAAAAATCTTGAGTGAAAAAAATGCAGAATAAAATTACCTATTACGTAAATGTTAATCATATAAAATAAAACCATGTATTGATTATGGAAATGTATAGATGTAATAAAACTTTTTACAGAAGAAAAGTACTTCAAAAAACATCCAGTAGATGTATCTGCATGTGTTGTTGCTTTTACTTCTGTAAGACAAATATTTAGGGTATGCTACCCAGGATAAAGACAGTGAATTTCTGTTCCTTTTTCATATGACATGGTTTAGGGTGAATTCACTATTCTGTTTACCAGTTTTAAATATGTTTCAGGGGCGCCTGGGTGGCTCAGTTGTTGGGTGTCTGCCTTCGGCTCAGGTCATGATCCCAGAGTCCTGGGATCGAGCCCCACATCGGGCTCCCTGCTTGGCGGGAAGCCTGCTTCTCCCTCTCCCACTCTCCCTGCTTGTGTTCCCTCTCTCGCTGTCTCTCTCTCTCTCTGTCAAACAAATAAATAAAATCTTAAAAAAAATAAAAATAAAAATAAAATAAATATGTTTCAGCTTGTCTAATTATGTAAATCCTATTTGGAGAAGTAGAGACATAAGAAAAAAAAATAATTTAAAATTCTTCTTCAAGTGTTTCACTCGAACTAAACACAAAATTCCTAGGGGAGTTTACATAGGACATATTTAAGCTGACAATTCATTCTCTTTGTTCTCAAGCCTATATCCAGGGATAGCAAAGAATTGTGTTCACTCTTGAGGGCATCCATCTTAATAGTTTGATCCTGACTCTTGAAAGAATAAATATTCTAAAAGGGATCTGAGAAAATATTTTCTTAATGGCAAATACAAAGCTTGAACAGTTTGTCTACCCCAAAGAGATACAGAATAAAACAATGAGGACTAAGCAAGTCTGTACCCTTGAATTTTAGGTTCAAGGGCTTATTCAATTTTTATACGGTATAGATATCAAGGATGAAATGTGGGATGCAGGAGACAGTGAGTGAGTATGCAGACACATGATCCAGCCCTGCCTCCATGTCCAACACTGTTCCTTTGGAGGTGTCGTTCTATCTGTGCGTCGATGTGCTTCAGCAGCCCAGCAGGTCCAAGACTGGTGGCCTGGCATGTGGTCACTCTGGGAAAGAGCCTCGGGTGCAGTTTGCAGCTCTGGCACCTGCCCTGATTTAGGCTCTCCATCCACCTGCAACTGCAGGAAGCCTGTCTCCTGGTGCTCTTGAGTGGCGGTGCTCTTCTGCTCTCCCGCATCCTTTGCCAGGCAATTTGGCAAGGGCAACCAAGGGAAAGTAAAACAGGCGCCCTCCTGTCCTTCATCAAAGTAGAGCAGAGGAGCCTGCTTGCTTTCTCTCTTTTTCTCCTTCTCTCTTTCTTTCTTTTCTTTCTTTCTTTCTTTCTTTCTTTCTTTCTTTCTTTCTTTCTTTCTTTCTTTCTTTCTTTCTTTCTTTCTTTCTCTCCTTCTCTCTTTCTTTCTCTCGTTTCCTTTCCTTGCCTTTCCTTTCTTCTTCCTACTGAGATAGAGTTGACATATAATGTTTCATAAGTTTAAGGTGTACAACCCATTGATTTGCTATATTTATATATTGTAATATGACTACCACTATAGCTTAGCTAACACCTCCATGGTCACATAATTAACATAGTGTGTTATGATCAAGATATTTAAGATCTAGTTTCTTAGCAACTTTGAAGTACATAATATAGTATTGTTGACAATAATCTCAATGCTGTGCATTAGATCTCCAGAACTTACTAATCTTCCAGGTGCCAGTTTGTATACCCTTAAACAACATCTCCCCATTTACTCCAGCTTCTGATAGCCACCATTCTACTCTGTTTCTGAGTCTTGCTTTTTTTAGGTTCCACATATAAGTGGTATCATACAGTATTTGTCTTTCTTTCTCTGACTTATCTCACTTAGCATAATGCCCTCAAGTTTCATCCATGTTGTTGAAAATGGCAGGATTTCCTTCTTTCTCATAGTCCAATAATATTTCATTGTATGTATATATACCACATCTTCTTTATACATTCATACATTCACAGACTCTTAGGTTGTTTCCGTATCTTGGCTATTGTGAATAATGCTGCAATAAACATGGGAGTGCGATATCCTCTTTTCATTTCCTTTGGATATATACTTAGAAATGGGATTGCTGGATCATATGGTAGTCCTATCTTTAATTTTTTGAGGGACCTCCGTATTGTTTTCCATAGTGGCTGAACGAATTTATATTCACACCAACAGTGCTTAAGAGTTCCCTTTTCTTCATATCTTTGTTATTTCTTGTCTTCTTTCTTTTTAAGATTTTATTTGTTTATTTGTCAGAGAAAGAGAGAGAAAGAGAGCACAAGCAGGGGGAGCGGCAGGCAGAGGGAGAAGCAGGCTCCCCACTAAGCAAGGAGACCAATGCAAGCCTCGATCCCAGGACCCTGGGATCATGACCTGAGCCGAAGGCAGACACTTAACCAACTGAGCCACCCAGGCGTCCCTACTTCTTGTCTTCTTGATAATAACATTGTAACAGATGTGAGGTGAGATCTCATTGTGGTTTTGATTTGCATTTCCTTGATGAATAGTGATGCTGAGCACCTTTTCATTACCTGTTGGCCAATTGGATATCTTCTTTGGAAAAAATGCCCATTTAGTCCCTCCACTCATTTTTAAACTGGATTGTTATTGAGTTGTATGAGTTCTTCATTATGTATTTTGGAAATTAACCTCTTGTCAGAAAAATGGTTTGCAAATATTTTCCCTTATTACTTAGGTTGCCTTTTCATTGTATAGCTTTTTCTTTTGCTGTGCAGGGTTTTTTAGTTTAATGTAGTTGCACCTGCTGATTTTTACTTTTGTTGCCTGTGCATTTAGTGTCAGAGAGGTTCCTAAATATATATTTTTAGAACCTCTCATCTCATCCACTTGTCAGAGTTCCATCCTTAAGGTAAGTTATCTTACCTTAAACACTACCTAGTTGCAAATGTCACAAACTGAGGTCTCTTGCTGAGAGGAAACAGGGTCCGATACCCAAGGGAACAAGGAGGAAACCACTAAGCCGAGTATTCATTATATACCCCAAGTTCTGGAGAGGGAATCTTTATGTCTCCTAGACCTGTTGCCTGTCCACCCTTGAAACTGTCTTTCATATTATTTGTAAATAACCGAAATGTGTCAGGTGATCTTTCTCTTTGTTCCTATAGCTCACTATACTTACTACTATCTGAATTTGTAACAATTCTAAGATTGTAAAATGAAAGTATTCGTGAAGGCATGTTCCAACTGATACTAAGTCTCTTTAGGTCTTTAATTCCCTAATACAAAGCCAAATTTATTATTTATTCGAGATATGAGCAGTATGGAATTTCTGCTCCCAAAGTACATGCCAGCCTTTAGGTACAAGACAAATAATAGTCAAATGACACACCTGGATGACCCTACTTGCCCACAAAAGTCAGTAGAGTGTCTCGGTCTAGTTTGGGAGTCCTGTACGTATTCTTAACCCAGCATTGTGACAGAACACACACAGATCAGCCTCAGCTACTAGATTATTACCTTCTAGAATTCAGAGACTTATTTTTATTTAGATTCATCTTTTTATTTTTAGCTCTCAGTACAGTGCCTTGCACATACTAGACACTCAACAAATGTTTGTCAAATACTTGTTAAATGAAAGAAATGGAGCAAGGAAAGAAACCAACATATACTGAGCTCCTGCCACATACCAGGCTCCGGACTAAATGCTTTACAAAAGTTATTGCATTATTTGGTTTTTGTTAGTGTTCTGTATGCTGGATAGCTCCAGGAATCGCACTAGGACTAGTGGAGATAATAGGAAGATACATTTCTGTTCATTATTAAGAAGCTTGTAATGTTCAGAGATGACTAACTATGGAGCTGGCTGTCTCGGGGAGGGTGACTTCCCTGTGACTCCGCATAGACTGAAGATGGTACGTAGGGACTCGAGCATCAAGTGGGGTGGGGGCTGTCAACCAGACCAGGGCCCCTCACTCAGATGCCCATGGAGGCCAGGCAAGGAGCATAAATGAGAGAAGAGGAAAGTGTAAGAAGTACTTCACTTCTCCCTTAACTCCATGTAAAACAGTTGCAGCAACATGATAAACAGTGGCTGACTCTCAGCCTCTAAATTGGAGATATAATAGGGAGTAATGGGGTCTGGGTATATTCTTTCTAAAGAACACAATTATCATTCAGTACTGATAGGTTTCATGCAGGAACATGGGTCCTGTTTTAAGAAATCTTTCTATTTTTTTTTTAAAGATTTTATTTATTTATTTGACAGAGAGAGACACAGCGAGAGAGGGAACACAAAGGGGGAGCAGGAGAGGGAGAAGCAGACTCCTCGCCGAGCAGGGAGCCCGATGCGGGACTCGATCCCGGGACTCCAGGATCATGACCTGAGCCGAAGGCAGTCGCCCAACCGACTGAGCCACCCCGGCGCCCAGAAATCTTTCTATTTTTAAAGAGAAGCCAGGAATTCTACTTTTCATAGAAAAGCTTCTAATTCTTAAATGTGCTATCAAATTCCACTGGGGGAGAAAACTCCACTGTGGCCACATAACACATATGTACATTTGGCCCATGGTCAGCTTGTTATCTCTGCAACTAATAATGTTTAAGGTAACTTTAAACCTGAGATTCTTGGAATATTGGCTTTATAGACTGGTTTAATCCAGTGGTGGGTTATTAACGACAAATCCTGACATTGACTGACGATGTCCTAGGTTTGCAAACTTTCTAACTTTAACTTTTATGCAAGGGGATTGATTTGTGTTTGCTCTATTTTATTTCACTGCTTTTTTTTGTCATTATCATCATTGCATCAGAGGCTTATCTGATTATTTTATGTAACTTCATCAACCACAGTGTTGATTGATAGCACAGGGACAGAGAAAGCCAGGTAATCTTATTATGACTTCCTAGCACAGGGCTCAGCTCTCAGGGGGCAAGGACTGACTACGATGAATTAAAACCTTATCCAAGATGATGCACACATCAGTAGCCATATTTTGACGGTTCCAGTTTTGAGTGATCTTTCCAGTGTTCTCTTAGCAATTAGAAAAACCCCATTTCTAGTGAAGCTCTTTTGACCAGAAGGTCAAAAAGGACTTCGAATAGAAACTTTTATCCTTCTGTATCTTTATCCTTCTATAAAAGTGACATCTTCCCTTCTTAATTTGGGTTGATAGAAGCTGTTTCCCCCTATTATCTGGAATTCAGGAAAAATGGTGCAGGAACCACTCCTGTCTTCTTGAGAGAGGATATATAATGTCCTAGAAGGTTGTAATTGTTGATTTCTAGGATGATCAGGATCAACTCTGCTCTAGGCTATAGAAGAAGCCCAAGTGCAGCCCTTTCCTTTCTTTTCTTTCTTGAGTTAGCCTTTTTGCTTGTTTATTTGTTTTGCCACTGGAACGATCCTAAAGTAATGGTGCCTAGGAGGCTATTTGGCCAACTTGTAGGGTTGCAAGACTTAGAGTTACTTTCTTTAGAAAAAGGAGACCCTGGAGTCCCATGTGGTGTATCCTCTTCACCAGGAAACAGGATTAAGGATAAGCCTGCGGTAAGGAACATGATGTGGGAAACAAAGGCAGAAGAAAAATTATTGAGTTTCCTTACTACCTACAGCCCATTGACAAGTCCTTGAAACAGGCAGAGTGACATTCCTCTAGGGACTCAACTGCCTCAACGTTAATACTTTGCTAAGGGCAAAAGGCAATCCTAGCCTGACTGCCACCGCCCCCCCCCCCCCCCCCCCCCCAGGATCCTGTAAGTCTACTTTAACATATTCTTTTGGAAACTTCCTTTATCTCTAAATGCTCCCCCCTCCAAGATACATGTTGGTAATCATCCCCCAAGCATATGGCCCACCTATATACATCTGAAGGGTCTCATGACTAAGGTTTTATTAGACGGTAATAAATGACCTTCTCCCGACAATAACTAGCCCCCTCAAGGTCCTGGAAACCTTGCTTCCAAAATTCCTTAGAGACTTACGCTATCCCTAACCCCCTCCCAACTTGAAAGTCTATAATAGGCCACTCCTCATGACTCCATTGCAGCTCTTTCTGCCCATGGGTCCTGTCCCCATGCTTTAATAAAATCACCTTTTTGCACCAAAGACGTCTCAAGAATTCTTTCTTGGCGGTCGGCTTCGAACCCTAATAACGTCTTTCCTACATCAGAACAGAGAGAATTTTCCTGGGTCATGCCTACTATCTATCTCTTTCCTAACATAACATGACATGAGCAGTGTTGGGAGAAAATCCTCCAACGGGCTCTAGGTTTCAGGTATTACAAATTGGGTTTGACTTCTAGATTCTGACAGCCCCAACTTCCCTTTTGCTTCCCCCAGCCATAGGATGATGGCTGTTTCCTGCACTCGCTGTCTGTGTCACCTTGCTGGGTCTCCTTTTGCCCTTTGGTCCCTCCAACAACTTGTGTAACCAGTTCCTCATATGAACTTGTCTGTTGCAATTTCTGTCTTCCTGACTGGACCCTGACAGATACAACTTGCTTTAACATAAATTCTTTACTTATATTTCCACTGGAGAATTATGTTGTTGGTAAATATTAGGGGTCCTTAAGATTGCCAATTTGACTTTTCTAAGAACCTTGCTTGAGGCAAGAAGTCGGATGGAGGAAAGCAGTTAAAATCATGAACAAGTATGGATTTTGAGGTAACTTACTATCCCATTTCCTTTTTGTCATTGTGTGTCAGGTGTTCGTTGGAAACAGCATTTAGGGCGGTTTATTCTTTTTAAGCTCACTCAGTTTCTGACTTTAATGGACAAGTTCAGTCCATTCATAATTAGTCTTACACTAATAACAGATATACTTGATTTTAATTCTTTCATTTTACTCTGATTTTTAAAAATGAACTTTACAGTTGTTTCCTTTTTTCTTTCCCCTGTTTTTCCTGGTTTGGTCATCCTAACTTTTATCCCCGTGTCCCTGAATAATCAAAAGTTAACTATATGACTATAGAAAAGTGGTTTGTATGTTTTTAACTTGAAAAAAACCCAGAGGTTTAAAATGCCCTTTTTTGGGGCGCCTGGGTGGCTCAGTTGGTTAAGCGACTGCCTTCGGCTCAGGTCATGATCCTGGAGTCCCGGGATCAAGTCCCGCATCGGGCTCCCTGCTCGGCGGGGAGTCTGCTTCTCCCTCTGACCCTTCTCCCTCTCATTTTCTCTCTCTCAAATAAATAAATAAAATCTTAAAAAAAAATAAAAAAATAAAAAAATAAAATAAAATGCCCTTTTTCTAATGGTCATGCTCTCATCCACATGGTTTTGCCAGGGAACCTTAGGGAAACGAGGTCAGCACAGAGATTCAGATGTCATCCTGGGTGCTTTCGACTCCACAATGGTGAGATTGCTTGGGCGCTCCATTACATATTTCCACAGATACACTTTCTCTAAAATGTAAAGAAAAGCAAATCAAAAGAGAAAACCTTGGAATAAAAATAGTTCTACCATGAAAACAGCTTTAGTAACCAACACGATGTGAAAGTTGGAGCGTGCCTTTCTGCTCTGACAAGCTTTGCTATGCTTTTCCTCTCTTAGGAAAGTGCTGCTTATATTGGCAAACTCCTGTTCATCCTTTGAGATGCATCCCAGGGTGTTTTCAGTAAGTCTTTCCCTAACCATCCTCTCCAAACTTGCTTCCTTCTCTGTGCCCCCCCACGACTTATGCATGCCTTCCTTACAGCCCTTATGACACTGTTTTGCAATTATTTTCTTCTGCCCTAGGCTATGTGCTGTTTGAGGGCAGAAACTTTCATTCATCTTCCTATCTCCAGTACTTAGTGCCAGTGCTTAGTAAACGCTTGTTGAGTAAATGATTAATTGTTTTGCCAATAGTAGTGGTTTATTTACAGCAACATAATTCTGGCATCTCTTTAATTTTTGCCTTTTTCCTAAAGCGACAGGAAAAAAATTTTTTTCAGAGTTAATGTTGCCTCCAAGGAACACAAATAGTATCCTCACTAGTCCTATTGTGTTTCCCTAATATTTTGAGAATTTGGGTTGAGGCCATCTGCACCCATGTGTCTCTCTGCTCCTCAAAGATTCTTTGGCAGATTCCTGTGTGTGTGTGTATTGATGACTAACCATCTGAAGTCAATTTTCAACCTTCTTGCTCATGGGCAAACATTGCCAACTAGCCTGACTGGTAGGCCTACTAGCTAAAATCATTTCCAATAAGACTTCCTTAGGACTCATCCAGTTTTGGGTAGTTTGGAGCTTTCTTTTGGAGATGCTCAAATGAACCCCCATCCTTTAACTTAAAATGATCTTTTTAATCTCCTTTTCCCCAGATTAAAGCCTTTATTTAGCATGACAGCAACTGAATTCCCCAACTCTGCCAGACATTCAACTTGATTATAAGTTCAGTCAGTACCCAGAATCAACATAAAGAAAGTAAAGTCAGAAGGTTTGAAATATAAATCCATTAAGGCCTGACATTTTCTCGAAATTTTAGTGAATAGCACACAGTCACTCTCTGCTCCAGTTATAAAAATAACACTATGAGTTTAAACTAAAATAAGTAACTTGGGCCTCCTTTATAAGAAATGCATCATTTTAAAAATTGCAGAGAGACCATTGGGAAGCAATTTCCACAAATGCAAGGACTCCTCATTTAGAGTGAATACAGTCTACACACTAGAGTGAATACAGTGAATATCACCACCAAACTGGCTCAAACACAAGGGCTAACAGAACTGTTGTCATGGAGTCCATTTGAAAGGGATTGTTGGCAAGACAAATTCCTCCCGAGGGTTTCCAATCTCAAGTATTTATGGAGGCTGGAGACTGAAGGGGGATCCTACGAGATCCATGGCCACATTTGGCAGAGTAGAGGTTCATGGACTCCTCCAGGAAATGAAAAAAACAAAACAAAATAAAACAAAACCCTAGAGGCCTCTTGCTTACGTCCACTGACAGGCTGAAACTGTAAATGACCTGTACAACCTGCAGATGTATACTCTCTTAGTAGACAGAAGAGTTTGGGTGGGTTGAGTCACATTATTTCCCTCTCCTTCTGGGCTTTCAGACTGCCTTTTCCAGCTCTCCTACAAGTCTGACATGGCCACATGCCTGAGTTCTGTAAATGGGAAATTCCCACTAGACACTGATCAGGTGGCCTACAATTCAACTCAATTCTGACACTACTTGTCTAGAAAATAGCCTCAGATCCCACAGATTAAGGACTGAGTTGTATAACAGTGCGCCTCCACCTCCTTGAGAAGTCAATGTCAGTGCTGGTCTGTTACGTGTGCTTCTGACCAGGTGGCTATAGATGGGAGGTTCCTACAAACCCCTCCTTAGATTCAATTAATTTGCTAGAACATCTCACAGAACTCAGAGAAACATTCACCAGTTTATTATAAAAGGATATGTTATAAAACAGTACATGTGGGAAGGGGCTCAGAGCTTCCACGCTCTCTGAGCATACCACTATCCTCAAATTTCCTTGCATTCACCCACCCAGAAAGCTCTCTGAATCTAGTCCTTTTGGTTTTTTATGGAAGCTTCATTACAGAAGCACGGTTGATTAAATCAATGGCCATTGGTGATTAAACTCAATCTCCAGCCCCTCTCCCCCTCAAAAATCAGGGGGTGGGATTGAAAATTCCAGCCCTCTAGACACCTGGTTGTTTCCCCTGGCAATAAGGAGCTCCCATCCCTCCCAGCGATCCATGAGTCACCTCATTAACATGACAAAAGACACCTTGTCCCACTGTCAACACCTAGGCAATTCCAGGGGTTTTAGGAGCTCTGTGCCAGGAACAGGGATGAAGACCAAATACGTATTTCTTTTATCATAAATCACAATATTACAGATTGTGTATAATGAATATTAAAAATAATGTTTGCAAAGAGCTTTTAATCATGTAATAGCAGAATGTGCCATCTCAAAATATGAGTGTAGGAGTTCAGGACATGCCACCTCAAAATATGCTGCTTTGGCATATTAATTATTTTGAGTTGCAGGCATTTGAAAAATATTAAATGCAAGGAGGGGCTTTCTCTGAACTCCTCATATCTGCCCCAAGACAGAACAACAAAAGGAACTCAGTTATCCCCTCCCCGGGAGCTTTACCAACCAGGAATCACTGACACCACACCCAAACTTCATCACAAACTATCATGTCTCCCATCTATTTTTTCCAAGAATCCATTCATCTTCCCTAAAAATCACTTTCTCCCCTCTAAGTGGCCTATACCCCCCTTCCCTTCCCAATTAAGATGGTATTTAAGCCTGAACTCTAAGCCACCTCTGAGTTACTCATTTTTCCCTGGGCATCTCCCAAATATACATGAAGTATACATGTTAATAAACTTCTTTTACTACAGAGGTCTTTGCTAAGAACTCCTAGGGTAGAGGGAAGATTAATTTTTCTCCCTCTGCAGTTGTTAGAATGATATGTGAAAAGAACGGGATATAAAACATTTTTTCCCAAATCATCTCCAATGCATTTTTGGAAAGTGGGAAAAAATACGCCAATATGTTCAAGTTAAAAATTGAAAAAATAATTTCATTGGAAATCCATATCCCTTCACCTAGATCCAGTGCTACCCATCCTTTGGAGGGCCCTTTTCTCCTCCAGCCTTGGTTCTCCCCAGGGGATGAGAAGTATTCTGAGCCAAGAGGCATGCCCATCTGGAGCTCAGCTCCCACCACAACCCCTCACTTTTATTCCATGCTGCAGGTATCCTAGACCCTGGAATCCCTGCTACTTTTTTAGTCTTTTTGGGGTCTGTTTTCCTAAGGTTAGACCACATCCATTATCCTTTGGCCCAAAGGTGGCCAAGAAACAGCCATTTGTGGGAGTGGTTATGGATGATATGGTTGAGCTGATCTGGATGTGTAGAGGAGGAAAAGTAATTTCCCTCTACCCTTTTAAGTTCTTGGCTGGATTCCCTATAACCAAAGACAGATTAATAAGAGAAAAACAAATAGAAGTTTATTAACATGTACACCTCATATACCCAGGGAAAAATGAGTAACTCAAAGGTTTATTTAGACCCTGAGTTTACATAGTGTCTTAGCAAAGGAACAATACATTTTTATAGAAGTGACAAGACAAAGGAAAAAGACTTTGAGTCTCTGGGGCAGCAAATAATAGGGAGGCAGATATATAGGAAACTAATGGTAGACAAAAGCTGGATAGTAAAGTATGTTATATAGATTCTTCCAGTGCCATATCCAGGCTAATAGGATCTAAAAATTATCTCTGGTGATTGGCAAATAGAGGGAGGGCACGGAACTTTTTTATATCTGCTTCTTCTCAGCTGCCTTCAGCTCAAAATAATCCTTATGCCGAAGGGGCATGTTTTGGGGTTTCATATTCTGCTACCCCACAGATGGTGCTTGAATGCATGAACTGAGGTCCACACAAATGTGCATAGAGCCCCTTATGATACGGATGGACTTAGGGATGGGGAGAGAAATGGAACTGGCTGCAGTCCAGGAGACCAGGGCTGGCTTTCCTTGAATTACTATGTTCTAACATAAAACTTGCAGGAGTTTGTGAATTCTAAATTTAAATTTGGTTTCCAGATCATTATGAAGATGTATTCGTCAAAATAAAGGATAGAAGGTATTATATTATGAGTTTGCTTTATAACTTTAAGTATTTAGGCATAGTATATGAGTCTCCATTTGTACTTTTGACCCAGGGTTAGGAACAGCCTTGCTTAAATATACCAATTATCAACACTTTGCCACATTGGCTTGCTCTATTATCTATCTATCTATCATCTATCTATCTATCTACCTACCTATCTCCATGTGCCTTTTTTTAAATGCTGAACCATTTGAAAATATATTGTAGACATCATGACACTTTCCCTCTAAATAGTTTACCATGTGTTTTCTAAGAACAAGGACATTCTCCTATATAACCATCATACCATATCACACCAAAGAAATTTA